ATATATGGGCGGGGGTTCAGGAGGTGTGGTGGTGTGTGTGGTGGTGTTGGGTGTGTGGAGGGTTTAGGGAGGTGTGATGGCGTGTGTGGTTGTATGCGTGGTGTGGATGTGCTATTGTGCTTGGTTGGGTGTGTGGAGGGTTTAGCGAGGTGCGGTGGTGTGTGTGGTGTGAATATGCTATTGTAATTGGTTGGGTGTGTGGAGGGTTTAAGGGAGGTGTGGTCACATATAATTTGTTTCTAGCATTTTTGTACTTCTAATGAAAGGACACGTCCCAAATGCTGAAAATACTGATTTGCATAATACTAGCGCCTAGTGCAAGTCACAAAGTCTAGAATTAGGGCTTCGGGTGCCTAAGTGTCGGATAGGATATCTAGGCAATGCAAGTGTAGCACCTACTCACTATTATGGAGGTGCTTAATTTCTATGCTCTCTGTATTTAGGACAACTTCTGGTTAGCACATGGCGCCTAGGCGCGACACACGATCTCTGGCACATAGGAGCCACTATCGAAGCGCCTACTTTCCAATCACTGGGTCTTGTGCTCGGATTTGGCCTGCTTTGGGCGCCTAGGCTCCCAGTCCTAACACTACTTTCCATGCCCCTGATGCTTACTTTCCAAGCTCTCCATTTAGGGGAAAATTGTTGGAAGCTGGCCTGCTTTAGCTGCCTAGGCACTGGTGAGCCACATTGCTTTATTTGGTAAAATTTTAAGCTCTGATCAACTTCCTTCCCTGATTCCTACAACACAACATTAAAACCTTTCAAAAATCATAAAAAAAAAAAAACATATAAATGATAAAAATACGACAACAACTAAACACATTTATCATGCATGTTACCTAGAAGGTACTGAGATAATGGAGAAGTGCTTGTACCCAGAGGAAGAACAAGAAAAAACATTACATATGAGTTCTAACATATGCAAAGAAAATAGTAAGACAGATGATAAAATATATAATATTGAGGTCTAGGAGTTTTCACCAACCGCTTCTGAGCAAGATACAGATGCACACTTGCAAAAGGAAATGATACTTTACTACTTAAAGTATAAACCATGGATTACAACTTCACAATACTTAAAATCAAAACTAGTTATCTTAAAACTACAAAAATATCACCTATAAATAGTCTTCTAGTGGGAGATCACCAAATTGGAAATAAAAAAAAGGAAGTAAGGTTCACCAAGACCCGTAGTTGCTAGAAAGGCATGCTTTCCACAATGAAGCTACAAAAGAGGTGAGAAAATCGCTTTTGTTCACCCAACGATTGAGGGTGTGTTCGATCCCACGGAACGGAATTTGGTCGTTTTGGAATAGAGTGATGTCGATTCTCATGATTCCCTAGTACCTCTGGCACCATATCCAAATAAGTCCTTAAAAAATTTAGCTCACAACTTCAACATTTAGAGTAGAATTATTAACAGACCTGGGTGTTGCGAGGTTCGGACTTGGCATGAGTTGGTCTCATTCGGGTTTTGACTAGTCAAAATGGGCTCGGGTCGGCTAGAGCCTGATTTCTATTTAAAAACTCATAGGCAGGCCCACCCACGCTAAATGTTGGACCGGGTCAGACTGGCCCACTGGCCTTAAAATGAAAAATTAACAAATTCTTTTTTTCTTCTTCTAAAGCACATTGCAACTTTGATGTTCAGGAAAAGTTATGTGGGAAAAGAACTTTCAATGATCATTGGCTAAATAACCCAATGAAATAAGAAAAACCACATCATTGGCTAAATAACCCAATGAAATAAGAAAAACGACGTCTTTTTCGTCTAGCAAAGCAGATTCATAATATAACCTCTTAATTTGTAACCTTTGCAATACATTTTCAACTTAATCAATATAAACAAATGAACAACTAAATTGCCTTCACATTAATATATATCTATATCTATATATATATATATATATATATCAATGAATAAATGTTGTATAAGTGCAAGCATGTGTTAGCATTCAAAAACAATTGCTGTGTTACAAATAAATTGCTCATAAGAATGTTTCAAAATGCAATTATCGCATTCTCAGGAATTTCATCAAGGATAACACCGCAGACACGTCATGGAGATAATCAGTTGGCATCTACGCCATATAAGCACGGAAAAAATACGAAGAAATTAAAATATCACATTCCTTTTTCAGAAAATCAGCAAACGGTGTCCGGTGCCTTGCCAGCCGTCGTTCGAGTCTTCAAGAGGAATGGGGAGGGGAATAAAGAGGCTAGGGCTCGGGTCTTTGACTCCTCGGCTCTTCGGGTTTGGGAATTGGGAGGAAAGCATGGACGTGTCGGGTGCCGTGCCAGCCGTCGTTCGAGTCTTCAAGAGGAATGGGGAGGGGAATAAAGAGGCTAGGGCTCGGGTCTTTGACTCCTCGGCTCTTCGGGTTTGGGAATTGGGAGGAAAGCATGGACCTATAAATTTTATCGCCTAATATCGCAATTTGCGAAGGGTCTTTGACTCCTCGGCTCTTCGGGTTTGGGAATCGGGAGGAGAGCACGGACCTATAAATTTTATCGTCTAATATCGCAATTTGCGAATAAATGTTGAGAAGGGCGAGATGCAGCGAGCACAAAAATTGATCATTCTGCCCCTGTTCTGAATAAGCATATTCCAATTTCAAAGAGGAAGACAGTTCGAGAAGGGCGAGATGCAGCGAGCACATTCCAATTTCCTAATAATTTTGAGAGAGGGGCTGTATCGGCTTGGACTAAGTCAAAGATAGGTTAAGCCGGGCCGGGCTCATAAAAATTCTATTTTTCTCTAGTCAAGCCCGCCACTTTAAGCGGGCTTATGGCGAATCCTTCGGGCCACCCACGCCCAGATCAAGATATGTCCCCACTGCCTTAAGTTGACTCCACTTAGTTATTAACTTGACTAAGGCATCATCCTCTCTATTTAAGGACCAAAAAAATGTCTATGAAAAAACAAAGCTGTCTGGTATGACTCATAATACCAGGATTTGAAGTCTGTTGGAATGAAGAGGTGTGTCTCTTAGTGTGAAGAGGTCTCTTGGATTAGTGGGTTGGGGGGGAGCGAGTGCGTGTTTGTAAATTTATTTGTGAGTTTTATCTATACATAGATGTGTAACTATATGGGTATGTAACTTCTCTAAAATAGTGAAATTCGCTGCTCTGCTCCCAATAATGTAGGCATCTTTGTCGAACCTCATTAAATCTCTGTGTTTTTCTGGATTGGTTTTTTTCGCCCTAAATTTCACAACAAGTGGTATCAGAGCCTGGTTCAAGGGCAAGAAAGAAAAATTTTGTCGACGCAAGAAGAAAGTTGGCGGCAATTCCGATTTCGACAGGAAGATTCGCTTGAAGGTTCGCGACCAGGATCTGCAAGTCGCAAGTCCCGTGCGAGAAAGAGTTCCCGCAGAAGTTCGGAGAAGGTTCTGTCCAACCGAGGATTTGCGACACAGAGGACGACAAAGACAAATTCGACGGTTATGCGGTGGTTCGCGATCGCGGGTGGGGAGAAACATAATCGCGACAGAGGCGAATCGTACATTCGGGCTTCTTCCGCGACAGGTAGAGGCGAGCTGCCCTTCGATTCAAATTCGGTGAATTCAACAGTTCGCGAAGAATAGTTCGTGAACAGACGCGAGGGAGCGGCGGAGGAGCATAATTGGAAGGGCAAACGCGGAAAAGGAAATTCGCGTTGAAAAGAAAAGTCTGCGAAAAAGAAAATTTAGCGCGTAGATATTCCGGAGATATTCCAGGACTCAGGAAAGGTAAGTAAAGGGAATCTGCTGCTGCACTCGGGAAAAGAAAGATTGCTTTCTTGAAGGAAAACGGAGACGGAGCTTTTCTGGAAGGAAGGCGGAAACGAAGCTTTTCTGAGAAGGAAAGCGAAGAGCGAAGCTTTTCTCGAAGAGAAAATGAGCATTTATGGAAAGCGGAGGAAGAGCTTTTCTTGGAAGTTTAAGGAAAAGGATTTCCGGGAAAGTTTAATTAAGAAAAATTTAATTAAGGGAAAATCTTTTTTCTTGGAAACTTAATTAAGAGAAATATTTAATTAAGGAAACTTGATAAAAGAGAAATCCATTACACCGCTGCCACATCATTAAGGAAACTTGATAAGGGAAATATGATCAATTCATTTTTTAACACCGCTAAGTTGATCTAGTTTTAATTGATTATAACTAAATTATCTCTTATAATAAATAATTCTAGATCTTTTGCAGTATCTCTCCAATCTCAAGCATAGCAGTTGGTGCCGCCATCTGTGTTCTCTCTTAGGAGCATTTGCATGCACACAACTCAATTCAAATGTAATTACATATCTAATCCACAAACTTTATTTTTTTGCATTAATCTTATTCAAATCTTTCATATCACATAAAAAACACCATCTCATGCATAGTTTAAAGTGATATATGCAAAAACTTTAGTTGTTAGAAATGTAAATACATAGATACTGAGCGGTAAATATGTAAATCTTTCCTTGTCTTATTCATTAACAGGCGATGAGGGCCATGCAATAAAAATTGAATTAAAACTCGGGATATCTGAAAGAATCAAGAAAGGAAATGCGACCATATTCATCTATAGACACATCTAAGTTGATATTTTCAACTTTATCAATCACATTGTTTTCTCCAATTTAATTCTCTAATTTGATTTGCGCTGACTCATTATTTGTTTGGGGCAAACACAACTTTCAATTACAACTTCTTAAAAAAACAAACAAATCAAACAGGAAAAACTTTTCCCAAACGCACCCCCAATCTATAAATAACTTTCTCAAATAATTTTATAGTATAGGACTAAGGAAGACAAGTGATCATGGAAATAGAACCCCGAAGTCATGAAGAAGAAGTTATTCCCTGCAACAACAACTATATTGTTATGGAAAGCAATAGAAAGCGTAGAATGAAGAGAGCCGCCCTCCTCTTTATCAACATCTTCTTCATTTTCATCGGCGGCATTGGTGGTCCGCTCTTGATCCGTGCTTACTTTCGACATGGCGGGAATTGCAGGTGGTTCTCAGGTTTTCTTCAAACGGCCGGCTTTCCCTATCTCATAATCCCAATGTTGTTCTCCTTTTTTCGTCGTCGTCCACAACGAAGCAAGTTTGGCCTTTTCTTGCTCACTCCTTCTCTTCTTCTCTATTGCATCGTTCTTGGCCTCCTTACAGGTAAGGATGGAGGCACTTGTGTAACTAAGTATAATGTTAGGGACAATTACACACTGGCTAGTTCAATAGTTCAAAAAATCACCTTGATGCTTAATTTGTAAATATCAATGTTTTGAGTGGTGTGCATCTAATTATCCCTTACTTTTCTAACTAGTTCTTTGCTGCATATTAAAGATTTGTTTGAATTTTTTTTTTTTTGGGCAATTTTTGTTGCTTTTATAAAAAGAATATTTGGAGTGATCAGTGGATTAAAACTAGAGTATGAGTTCTTTCTTAAGAAATAAATTCTATAAAACCAATAACATATTTCCTAAAATTTAATTTTTTTTTAAAAACAATTCTATAAATACTTTTATGAAATACATATACCGTACCCAAAAGTTTCATAGCAAGTAGAAATGGTTGGCAGTTCAATAGATACCACCTAATTATTATTCATTTACAACATTCATGCTATTAATTCTTTGTTATCACATTAAAAATTACACTTTTCATAATATTTTAAAAAAAAATAAAATACATCTTCTCATAATATGATATTTATGTAAAATTAAAAGGAAATTTACATGCAGATCATACATTCGTAAAATTAAAAGGAAATTTACATGCAGATCATACAATCCTTATGTAATTACATATCTAACACCTAAAATTCTATATTTACATTTATAACACTTTGGCATCATAAACCCATGAATCAAAAGTTGTATTTCACTTAAAAAATCAGGTAAAAATAATATTTTTGATGTGATAATGAGATTTGAGCATTATGCATGAAAATATCAAAACTCATTTGTTAGATATAAGTGTTGAGTTAATCTAGTTGTCTCCAGAAATTGTTTATGTTTTTTTTTTATTTTTCATGTTTTAGGCGGTTAGAAAAACCGTTATGTGGTTAGGCGGTTAGGAAAACCGTTACACACACCTTTTCATTCCAGGAGACACACCCCACCAAATCAAAGAGTCACCAAATCAAAGAGTCTCCAAATTTCTGACATATGAGCCATACCTAACAATTAAGTCCATATGAATTGAGGGGTATGTTTGCAAATCCTTCTTTAATATAAAATAACTATAAAAAAAAAAAAAAATTTTGAAGAACATTCCCCCAAATATATATAGTATAAGATGGTGCTTAGCAGCAACTCAGAAATTTTTATTTAAATGAGTGTTAAATTTAATTTTTTTTATTTTTATCTCTGGCTAAATTTAAATTAAATTCATGATTAAATCCTGTTAATAGTCCAAAAGCATTATTATTAAAATTTCTCCAACGCAGGTGTTGACGACTTCCTCTACTCTTACGGCCTCTCCTTTCTTCCCCTCTCCACCGCCACCCTCCTCATGTCAACGCAGCTCGGCTTCACCGTCGTCTTCAGCTTCTTCATCGTGAAGCAAAAGCTGAACGCATTTACAGTGAACGCGGTGGTGCTGCTAACGTTTGGCATTGTGATTCTGGGCGTGCGTGCCAATAATGATCTGCTGGACGGGGAAGCCAAGCAGAGGTACTATCTAGGGTTTATAATGACGCTCGGGGCTGCCATTATATACAGCATGGTGCTGCCACTCGTGGAACTTATCTATATCCGCACGAAGCAGGAGATGTCTCATGAACTTGTTATTGAGATGCAGTTTTTCATGGGGCTTTTCGCATCCATTTTTTGTGCGTTTGGGATGGCTTTCAACAAGGATTTTCAGGCAAGCATTGTTATATATATACCATCCTATTCCTTTTTAACATATCTAACATCTAAACTTTAGTTTTTTTGTAATATTATCACATAAGAATATCACCAGCTGTTTAATTTTTTGAAATGTGAAATATATCTCTTCAATGCATAGGTAAAGTGACATGCATGCAAAAATTGATGTTTTGATGTTAAATATGTGCATGCAAGGAATTGAGTGGCACCGCACGTATCTTCCTTTCTTGTTGAGAAATTTACATATTTAGCATACGATATTCTTTTGTATTTATATATTTAACTATCTCTAAGTTTGATATTTACACTTTAAAACACATTGGTATCATAAATATGTGATTGTGATATTATTATTGATGTTATGCTAGAGATTTGTGGGCTATGCATGTAATTATGAATATATAGATGTTAGATATGTTTAATACATAAGAATTGTGAGGTATGTATGTAAAAATAAAATAATTATAATTTATTAATGTTAGGAGTCTGCGAAGTGCAGGCGATCTCAAGAGAGAGCGAGCTGTATGGGCTTGGCAAGGCAGAGTACTACTTGGTGGTCTTGTTCACCACTGTTACGGGTCAGTTCTTCTTCTTAGGCACGGTGGGAACCATTAAGTACTCTTCAGCTTTACTTTGTGGCGTTATTATTGCGGTCTGTATCCCCATTACAGAAGTTTTTGCGCTCATCTTCTTCCATGAGAAATTTGATGGAGTGAAAGGAGTTGCCCTAGCTCTTTCTCTTTGGGGCACTGCTTCTTACTTTTATGGTGAGTATAAAGAACACAATAAGAGCAATGTGTATGCAATGGAGTCTCAACATCTTCCTCTTTAATCTGTCTCAAGTTTCTCGGACGACTTTTGTCAAAATGTGAATTGAAGGAGAGAGTAATAAATGAAATGTGAATTCTGATTTTGCAATTCTAAATTCAGTTCTTATGTTTATTATGTTGTATGCAAGTGCGGAATGAGATTAGGTCTGAGGTTGGCAATTGCCTTCCTTCGAATTTGAGAGCATTTTTTATTAATATCAAAATATTAATAATAAAATTTATTATTACGAATTTATGTACTTATCACTTGATTTTTATGTATTTTCATTTTTCATAACAAAATTTTCTGATTATTCATATAACATCTTAATTTTTTTTTTTAAATCATGCATACACCTAAATGTTATAGCCATTCAAAATAAAACCTTGATATTTGAAATATTTTTTTATTATGATTTAAAAGTAACTGAAAAAAAAGAAATTGGAATTGAATAAATAAATAATTGTGAATTCATTGGTTTCTATGTATTCGCTCTTTAGTGTGGGGACTATACACACATCAAAAAATTAAAATATATTTAGAAATCCAACATTTAATTAAATCTTATTAATATTCTAGTATTTGATTTTTATTTTTATTTTTTTTGTGGAAAAGATGTATTTTATTTTAGATAACTTAATATTAGTGATAATTTTGATGTAATTTACATGATGGATCATAATATGTATAAATATTATGATTTACATTTTGGATTTGTAAATAAGAATTTAGTCGGTTGTTTATGAAGTCTTTCTTTTATCAAATGTTTTGTATGTTTTGGTTCAATCCGATTCGATGTAGGTGCTTATTAAGCCAATTTAAACCGAACCACATGTTGGTTCTCGGTCGAACAAATCAGTTATGTATTATTAGTACAATTCAAATTGGTTGGTTGAATTGGAGGAATGCTTCGGGTCTATTTTGTGATAGAAAAATATAATTTAGACTAAAAGGAAAATTTTATAAGATGGTGATGAGACCTGCAATGTTCTATAGTGTAGAATGTTAGTATTTAGAAGAGAAGCATAAAACAAAGTTAAGTGTTATTGAGATGAGAATGTTTGGTGCATGAGGTTGAATTGGAGGAATGCTTCGGGTCTATTTTGTGATAGAAAAATATAATTTAGACTAAAAGGAAAATTTTATAAGATGGTGATGAGACCTGCAATGTTCTATAGTGTAGAATGTTAGTATTTAGAAGAGAAGCATAAAACAAAGTTAAGTGTTATTGAGATGAGAATGTTTGGTGCATGAGTGGCTTGACACTTGAAGATAAAATGTGAAATAAACATATTTGTGATAGGTTTGGTGTAGCTCCAATGGAGGGCAAAATTAGAGAGAGTCGTCTTAGACGGTTTGGTTACATTAAACATCAGTCATCTGATGTTCCAGTTAGAAGGGTGGATGTTTCAGATTCGACCTATGTCAAGAAAAGTATAGGTAGACCTAGAAGACTTGGGCTTATTATATAAAAATGATCTTAATTTATTAGAATTAAATGAAAATACAACGCTTAATAGGACATAATTGAGAAAAATGATTCATGAAGCCAGTCCCACAGTAGTGGGATAAAGGCTTATTGCCGTGTGTGTGTGTATGTCTCTATATATATATATAATTTTATCATTGAGAAAACCTTTTTTCTTAACAAAAATTAGCCTTGTTTCTCCAAAAAAGCAATTAAGAATGATACCACAATTTTTTATGTATTTATATATCTAATATTCGACTTTAGTATATATTTATATAACAAATTAATGTTGCAATCATATTAAAATATAAATATGAGTAGGTGCATTTCAATCAAGAAAATTACTATCAATGTGACTTCTTATCCGACCCGAACGACCACGGTTCGGCGCGGCTTATGAAGCCCCGTTAAACTTGGAATAAAGCCCATGGGCCAATTAAACGAAAGCCTATCCAAAAACAAAAGTGAATTGGTTATTTTTACAAAAAAAAAATAAATCATAAAGATATTTTATGTGGGTTGGGGGTGTTGGGTCAACGCCCCGCTATACGGTACAGGGGTAATTTGGGAATTACATATTGTACTGTAGGGTTTATTCTAGGATTATAAATAGAAATGTTTGTAATCCTAGGTCTTTGAGAGAGAGTTGGATCCTCTATTCTGTAACCTCTTTCTGAATATTGAAAAGGAAGTCACCGCTCTGCTCCCGAGGACGTAGGCATCTTTGCCGAACCTCGTTAAATCTCTGTATTCTTCTCAATTTGTGTCGATTACTGTTTTTCTTCGCCCTAATTTTCTCAACAATAAAGATATTGGCTATTTGTAGAAAATATTACTCATTCCATTGCAGTGTAAGCAGCTGCATGAAAAAGGTTTCATTTGGTGAGGCAGCATTTCTAGAAATTAATTTTCAAGAACAGTTGTTTTAAATAACGTATCATTTTCTCCATTTTATGAACGTGATTTTTAAAGGAGTATAACTAAATAATTGTCATGCCATGACTAATTTATTGAGTAATATTGTCATCATACATTAAAAAAATTTAAGATGCATTTTTCTTTATATAAAAAAGGACATGCATTTAGATATATACCTCAAATTCTCCTATATATCTATATCTATATATATATAGATACATACATACATACATACATACATACATATGTAGCACTTAAATTTTCATTTCAATATTACTGCTATTAATCTCTTAAAAGCGAAAGGACCCTTTCATCAATAGGTTTAGACATCAAAATGTAGATGTTAAATTTGTAAATATTTCTCAAAAACATAGTTTACAGTTAGGCATGGTTAGGTATTGTTGTAATTATTGTAACTATATTTTAATCAATCTAAATTAAATTTAATTACATTAATTCAAATTTATTGTAACTATATTTTAATCAATCTAAATTAAATTGAATTACATTAATTCAAATTAAAAAAAAAAAAAGTAAAGATAAAAAAGCACAGGCAACAAAAATAAGTGGAAAAAGCATCTGATTCTGATGAACTGCGCATCACAACATTTTTGACAATATTCCCCACTCAATTCACAAAGAATCTCATTAATCATTTAATTACAACGAATAAAAATAATTCCACAATTTGTAAAAGGATGTTTATCATATTACATCGAAAGCTTAAGAGTGATTTGAATATATTTTATAGAGTGGGGAGGAGGGTAACCTAACCCACTAGCTTTATGTCCAACAATGTATTTATGAGATGAACCTTTTCCCGGCGAAATTTCATTGCATAAAGCCAAAATATGATATTAATGTGATGGCACAATTGAATCACTCATTGCCTCTTAATTTGGAATTATGCTATTTAAATATGACAGAATATTTCTTTTTTCTTTTTTTTACTTTAATTTCAACATTAATAATTACACTGAAGTGACGTATAGAGTAAGAGAACAAATAATTCCTCATAATATGCGGATAAATAGGGTTCGTGCATATGCCCTTGTTCCCTATTTTTGTGTTATTGCATGGGATTATAAATTAATGGAAAATTAATGTCTTAAAATGTCATTAATTTAATTTTATGGTAAATTTTTTTCCCTAAGAGGAGAGAACGTTGATTAATTCTCTCCCTCTAGTTTTAGGATGAATAGGTTTTAGAGATTTTTAATGGCATGTTGTTATCATATAAATATGCTACGCAATTGTTTAGCATTATAATAATGTTTATTTATATAATATTTTAAACTTATAATTATTTTGGATTATAAATAAAATTTTAATAAAATTAGATGTTAAAAGAAAAACAAAAATTTGAATGTTATAATAATCAATTATGCCCCACGAAAATCTTAATTCAATGAATTTGTGCAAATGGGCATTAGAAAAACTCATACAAAACTCTGATTTCAATAAACATATAGTCAAACCGACTGAATCTACAAGAAGAACTCGTTGTTACCAAAATTAGTCCAATTCAAGTCTAATCAATCTTAGGTAAAGTTATTAAAAAATTCTTAGAAGTTTTTCGGACATATTTAGAAAGTCAAACGAATGGATAATCTAGCCAGCCTATAATTGAATCGAGTGTTTCAACAAGACGAATCCAACGAACTCAATATTCTACAATTCCGACATCGTTCAGGAACAAAATGCCCATTAAACATCGTCTAATTGAAGGAATCATTTCGGACCGTCTGATCAAAGTAGTTCGTATTCTTGCATTCATTACACCATAACATTATAAATAGAGTATCACCTCTCTCAAGAGGGGAGGTTGGATCAAAAGGAATCATTTCGGACCGTCTGATCAAAGTAGTTCATATTCTTGCATTCATTACACCAGAACATTATAAATAGAGTCTCACCTCTCTCAAGAGGGGAGGTTGGATCAATGAGAGAGAACTTAAAACTTTTAGAATTAGTTGAAGACCAGCACCACCCTTGTCATTTCCAATGGTTTTCGATCATCGTCGACCACCACCGATTGTGTTCAATCACTGTCAACCACCGCTGATCGTTGTCAACAACTATCTACGGTCGTCGAGCTCTACTGTCACGTTCAACCACCACCGATCGCCGTCAATAGCTGATCACCGTCAATCACCATCGATCACCACTGACCGGAAGCCGTCAGTCGACGTTATAACTTTAAAAACCTAATAATTCTTTCACGTTTGTGGGACACAAGTTCTATGTAATCATCAACCTATATTGAACTTTTACGTCTGGGAGAGGCCCCTTGATTTTTTTTCTTTACGAATTTTCCCGTTAAAAACTTATGGTATCATTACTGATTGTTTTCTTTTACTTAAGTGTGGGTTAAATTCTCGTGCAACGTTAAGACGATGATCGATTACTTCACCACCATGGATTTCCTAGCAAGCATTAATTCTCATAATATTTTAATCATGAAATTACAGATGTAGTGGTCCTAATCCCAATCATGCTCTTCAAGTCAAATAAAATTGTAAATTTGTTGAGAAAAAAAATTAAGTGAGCGCTTAGAGCTGTAAATTATTTTCTTAAAATCGTACATTCAAATCACATAATTTTGATATATTAATACATAGGAACTGAATGGTATTTATATAAATTTCCATTAAACAAATTTACCCTCCTCAAATTCAGCATAAATTCTTTGACCTGCACCTCTGAAAATCTCTTAAAAGCGCATTTAATTAACACCAGCAACGATCCACATCTCTGCCAAACTTCCTCCAACCCCCCTCCCCACTCTCTCTCTCTCTGTTATGCTAGGTCTCCTCACAAATCCATGGCTTCCAATCTCTCCAGCAGCTTCCATGACATATCATCTTCATCAACCTCGAGCTCCAGCCTGATGAGCCATGGCAGAGCAATAGATCGCTATTCCCCTCATCTCAGAGACCCACTGAGAGAAAAATACTTGCCCAGATTACATTCCAGAGCCAAACCCTGCAACCAAAAGAGCAGAAAGAGTAAAGAGAAATCTCCTCAAATAACGAGCCCTGCAACTTCTTCTCGCTATCTGCTGAATGATGTCTCAGTAGCCATTGATGATATCTCTGAAGCAGAAATCCTTCCTCCTATGATTTCAGTGGATGAATATCGGCTTGAGTACTCGAAGGGAGATGATTTTATTGTGGTGGAATCACTTTCTTCTGAATCTTCTCCTGTGAGGCAAAGTGAACAGGTTTGATTTTTTTTTTTTTTTTTTTTTTTTTTTT